ACTGACATCTTGACTCGTGCTTGAAGTCCAGTCATTCTCTCAGACATGAAGAGCTTCAGAGGAAAAACTCAGGTCAGAACTGCCTTCTGTGAAGCTGAACTGTCCTTACACTCGAGAAGCTCAATGCCAACACTGTTCTGACTCACATACAGGTAAAGGATAATATCAGCACAGAACAGAACAGCATTTGCTCACTTCAGAACTAAGTGGTATATTTTGCCGTGGTAAACTGTCTGACACACGCTGAGATATAGTCCTATAATTTACGTAAATCACAGTCTATTCCGATCCATTAGGCCCTGAGAGAATTCATTGTTAAAGACGGTTCTGTGACATTAGATTTATATTAAATTGATGCTTTCAGCAGGACGCCGGCTGAGGCTCTGACTTTATTTGCTTCTATTTACACATAGCTTGCACTATACAACTCTTTTATTTCTGCATGCGTGGTATGATTCATTAGTAACAAAACACCTAAAGCAATAAATAAATAAAATACAAAAAAAATAATATAATCTAATATAATTTTTGAACAGGGCCAACAATATTTTAAATGTGATATTTGAACATTTTTGAAACACTTTTGTCTCCCAAAATCAAAGCAAATATATGCAGAAACATGTAAACAAACAAATAAATAAATGAAAGCAGTTTTTTTCCTTAAATCAAATAGTTTTACGTTAGTTTTATAGTATGACAACTAATTCATTCTTTTTTTTTAATTATTAAATTCACTATTTAATTAATTAATTAATTTTATACGTGCGTGTATTGAAGGAAATGATACTTGGTTACACAAAAATTTTTTTAAGATTTTTCTTTTTCTTCAACACGTACACTCTTTGTCATTGACTCCTTTATAATTCTCTGAGATGCAGGACACAAAAAAATAAGTATTTAGCAGACAATATAGATTTGAACAAAGATAGTACATTTATGATGATGCATTTAGTATCTTTGTCAGATTTTTATTAGTGATCAACTGATTATCTTAGTGTTTAACACTGCATTTATTTGATCAAAAATTATGAAATATTGTCAAAATGTAAAATTGTAATAAAAGTTTTCTAGGTGAATATTATGTTAAAATGTAATGTATTGCTGTGATGTACTGCATCATTACTCCAGTCTTCAGTGTCACATTTGATCTGTCACTTTTAATCAATTTAATGCGTCCTTGATGAATAAAAGTATTGATTTTGTCCCACAGGAAAAAAAAAACTTCCCCTGAATGTTTGCACTTTTATATATTTAACGTGAGATTATATTTGATCTTTCTTTAGTGCTGTATGGTATGAAATTGGTTGGCATTAAACACTGTGTCTTGTGTGCAGGCTGATGTATTTCTTTTTTAATTAATTTCTAATTGATGTATTGTTGCAGAGGGAGGTATCGTTGTGATGCTGCTCCTCTGATGTAATAATCACGTTCTCCTCCCGCTGGCTCCTCAGAAATGGCCCATTAAGTATGCTAATAGATCACAGTGGTTCTGATGGGCTCATTTATTTCTCATTTCACAATATGGCACAGCTTGGAAAAAGGGTGTAGTGCTTTCAGTGTTGTTTAGAGGAACATGCTGTCGTTCACAGAATATAGAGCTGAACATGTGTAGCGCTTGTTCAGGATTCTAACTGCTCTTGGGTTTTTCAGAAGTCTAAACGAGCAGGGTTTTAGCTGCTGAGACGGTCCTTTCTCTGTCGGTCGTTGCTTTGATTAGTGAGTCTCGGTCATTAGTGCTGCTGTCGAGCTGAAGCTCTGCTAAAATGGCCTTTGATTCCTCCTGAAGAGCTCCAGCTCATCTCTGTTTGATGTGACAGGACAGAAGAGCCACTGAAGAAACCAGCATTAAACAGCAAATCAGCACAGTTCTTTCTCTTCTCATGCACGGGGCTTTCAGTTTGCTCTGAAATGATTCCGTTTAGCAGAAGCTGCATAAATCACAGCATCTAGAAAAGCTCAGAATAAAAACAAATACTGGGTTCATCCTTTGACATCACTGTCCGTTGACTGCTCATACTCGCTGATGTTCCTGCTGCTGTTGTCACACCAAAGATAGCAATAAAGAATGACTTTTATTATCTGAAACCGGTAGCATGCACTTCGCCACAGGACCTGAAGGAGAACAGCCTGCTGCTCTGATAATGCGGATCAGATTTTCTCCGCAATCTACATTCATTCAGTTCAAGTAAATTGAGAGTCATGGAATTTAATAGGAACACAACTAATGCATTTACGTAAACTTTCATTAATTACTGCTTAATGTAAAGAATAAAGTAAAAACAGAATAATAAATAAACAACTTATTAAAGGAAGTGGAAAATGTTTCCCATATCTTCTGTAGTTGTCGTCTTGGGCTGTGTGACAGATGTAGACTAGTTTATATGTGTTGGGTAACCACAAAAATTAGAAGTGATAAAATACTTTAGCAATAGTTAAAATGAAACAACACTCTGCTCTGCTTCATGTCTTTATTGCTATAGGATCCACACCAGTGTTGGGTTTGCTGATCAGATGCACAGGCATGCTTTAATTGAGAGAATCTGAATAATTGATGCTTCTCAGCATATGTTCATATTTCAGGTGATATTATCTGTGAATCAATAATGCATTGGATCTCAGCTCAGACAGACCATAACTACTCAAACGGCACTGTGATGTTGTTTCCACACACAAATATTGTGCAGCACGACTGTTTTCAACATTGATAATAATCAGAAATGTTTGTTGAGCAGCAAATCAGCATATTAGAATGATTTCTGAAGATCATGTGACACTGAAGACTGGAGTAATGATGCTGAAAATACAGCTGCGCATCACAGAAATACATTACAGTTTAACAGAGATTCACATAGAAAACAGCTGTTTTACATTGTAATAATATTTCATAATTTCTACTGTATTTTGATCGAATAAATGCAACTTTGGGTGAGCAAAAGTGACTTAAAAGTGACTATTAAAAAACATAGATAGATAGATCGATAGATGTATATTGTGCTTTCATGTATTACAATGTTTAGTGCAATAAATAATTATTGTAATTAACACAATAATATATATTTTATAATAACATTTCCATATAGTAGATAAATCATGTTTTATTGGTCATTACTGCCACATTCTGCCACTAATAACATTGGCTCAACTCATTTTTAATTGCTACTCATTATAACACAATTACAAAATGAAAATCCCCGTTCAGCAGTTGGAGAGATCCTGCTGTGATGAAAATGAGTCTCTTTGACCGTCGCTTCTTCTCACTGCTTCACTCAGTGTCACCAACGGTATCTGTGACCCTGGAGCACAAAACCAGTCATAAGGGTCAATGTTTTGAAATTGAGATTTATACATCATCTGAAAGCTGAATAAATAATCTTTCCATTGATGTATGGTTTGTTAGGATCGGACAATATTTGGTCTGAGATACAACTATTTGAAAATCTGGAATCTGAGGGTGCAAAAAAATCTAAATATTGAGAAAATCATCTTTAAAGTTGTTCAGATGAAGTTCTTAGCATATTACTAATCAAAAATTAAGTTTTGATATATTTACAGTAGGAAATTTACAAAATATCTTCATGGAACATGATCTTTACTTAATATCCTAATGATTTTTTGCATAAAAGAAAAATTGATAATTTTGACCCATACAATGTGTTGTTGGCTATTGCTACAAATATACCCCAGCGACTTAAGACTGTTTTTGTGCTGCAGGGTCACATTTGTGGTTTGATTGCAGAAGAACTGTGAGGTGAAGCCTTCAAAGGTTAATAAAATGTTCGGCTGGACTCTGATCACTGCAGGATTCTGAACTGTTTAATGTTGCACAAAATGTATAAAAGGTTTGCAAATACTGCAGCTGCTGTGGAAAGACAATCTTCTTATTAGTATTAGTATTCAGTGTATCAGCAGTTCAGTGCATCTGTTTTCATTCATCATTGTTCATGTTTTCTGTGAATGAGATGGCATCGGCTCTCGGTGAAGAGTCCTGGATCTGTGCACACATTTAGTTGGAAATGGAAATGAACTGATTGCATCTTTTCTTCTTCACGGTTTCTCCACAGATGTCCCTCGTACGAGGACTGCTGTGGGACTCGCTGCTGCGTCCGAGCGCTTTCCATCCAGAGACTCTGGTATTTCTGGTAAGAATGGCCTTTTCTTCTCCTTTTATACATTGTTACTTTGTGTTTTATTTTTCATTTACTGTATGATTTACTATTTTCATATCTGTGACCCTGGAGCACAAAACCAGTCATAAGGGTCAATTTTTTGAAATTGAGATTTATACATCATCTGAAAGCTGAATAAATAATCTTTCCATTGATGTATGGTTTGTTAGGATCGGACAATATTTGGTCTGAGATACAACTATTTGAAAATCTGGAATCTGAGGGTGCAAAAAAATCTAAATATTGAGAAAATCATCTTTAAAGTTGTTCAGATGAAGTTCTTAGCATATTACTAATCAAAAATTAAGTTTTGATATATTTACAGTAGGAAATTTACAAAATATCTTCATGGAACATGATCTTTACTTAATATCCTAATGATTTTTTGCATAAAAGAAAAATTGATAATTTTGACCCATACAATGTGTTGTTGGCTATTGCTACAAATATACCCCAGCGACTTAAGACTGTTTTTGTGCTGCAGGGTCACATTTGTGGTTTGATTGCAGAAGAACTGTGAGGTGAAGCCTTCAAAGGTTAATAAAATGTTCGGCTGGACTCTGATCACTGCAGGATTCTGAACTGTTTAATGTTGCACAAAATGTATAAAAGGTTTGCAAATACTGCAGCTGCTGTGGAAAGACAATCTTCTTATTAGTATTAGTATTCAGTGTATCAGCAGTTCAGTGCATCTGTTTTCATTCATCATTGTTCATGTTTTCTGTGAATGAGATGGCATCGGCTCTCGGTGAAGAGTCCTGGATCTGTGCACACATTTAGTTGGAAATGGAAATGAACTGATTGCATCTTTTCTTCTTCACGGTTTCTCCACAGATGTCGCTCGTACGAGGACTGCTGTGGGACTCGCTGCTGCGTCCGAGCGCTTTCCATCCAGAGACTCTGGTATTTCTGGTAAGAATGGCCTTTTCTTCTCCTTTTATACATTGTTACTTTGTGTTTTATTTTTCATTTACTGTATGATTTACTATTTTCACTCTGAAATTGCCAGTAAATTTCACAAATAATTATAAAACAGCAAGTTACATGGACTTAAATGTGAAATTTTGAAGTTGAAAAACTGAACTAGTATTTTTGGTAGCACTTTACTTAAAGCCTTTATGTATAATGCATTATAAAAGTAGTTTCAGTGCATTAATTATGCTTTGTAATGCATTGTATGATCTCAAGAATAATTGTAACTACAGTTATAATACTTCAATATTTGTTGTTACACTTTTAAAAAGTATAATGCACATGAAAAACAAACCTACAAATATTATAATGCATTTTAAATTTGTTTTTAAAAAATCATGAAAAGATATAATGCATTACAATGTACATTATGATGAATACCTTTATAATGCATTATGCATAAAGGCTTTAAGTAAAGTGTTACCGTATTTTCTTGTAAAACATACTGCAATAATCTTTGGGTCAAATATGAAAAAGGTTTTCAAGCATCAAAACAAACGTTTAATACAGCTTTCAAATTTAAGGGTTTTTCCTTCATACATTCCCTTCAATTTCCTGTTTCATTTTACTTGTTCTGAGCAAAAAAATAATGACTATCATACATTTTTACCATGATTAAGACACCCACTAAAATGTCATTCAGTGTAATAATAGATCACATACCAAAAAAGCTACACCAAGAATAATTAGAGGACATTAAAATACTGTATTTAAGGATCACAGTTCAGCCATAAAATACTAATGAATTATCAGTTTAAATCTTTGCCACTTTTTAAATCCTTCTAACCACCAGGTTTTACTCACTTGACAGCAAGAATACAGGTTAGAATAAGAGTTTTATTTTTACGTAAATATATCTGAATATTTCAGCCATATTCTTTACATTTTATTTTTACATTTTTAAGTTATTTGAAGCTATTTGTTACTTTTTTTAAGTTTAATTTGATGAAGACAGCAAACTGGGACATCTCATCTTTGACCCTTTTTTATTTAGCACTTCAATAAAACAGTATAGTATTGTAATTGTATTGTATTGTAATTGTAACTTCTGCCGTTTGTGGGTAATGTGCAGCAGCTGGCATGTGATTTGATGGTGGTTGTGTCAGTCGTGTGTCTGCTCTCTCATAGGCTGCTGCTGATGATGGGCGTGTTCTTCTGCTGCGGAGCGGGCTTCTTCATTCACCGGAGGATGTATCCATCAGCACTCAGCGAGGAGCCCGCCTTCAACGTGTCCTTCACCAGACAACCGGTCAGCTCGCCAGGTCAGCGTCGCACCATCACACCCTCATCACCATCGCCACCATCACAATAACATCATCACCATCACAACATCATCATCACAACATCACCATCACACAATCATCACCATCACACCATCATCACCATCACAACATCATCATCATCACCATCACACCATCATAACATCATCACCATCACACCATCATCACCATCACAACATCATCATCATCACCATCACACCATCATAACATCATCACCATCACACCATCATCACCATCACAACATCACCATCACACCATCACAACATCATCATCATCACCATCACACCATCATAACATCACCATCACACCATCATCACCATCATAACATCACCATCACAACATCATCACCATCATCACCATCATAACATCACCATCACACAATCATCACCATCATTACCATCACAGCATCACCATCACACCATCATTTCCATCACACCATCACCATCACAACATCATCACCATCATAACATCACCATCACACCATCATAACATCACCATCACACCATCATCGCCATCACAACATCATCACCATCACACCATCATCACCATCATCCAAAGCCTAAGTGTATATGGCAAAAAATATTGTCTTTTTTTCTTCTTCTTTTTCCAGAAGATTTGACCGATTCAAGATCATGATTTTGATGTTTTTTTGTTGTTCTTCTTTTTTTAAGGTTTAAGTAGTCCTCTTATCGTAATTTTAACATGATTCAAGTAACAAATTTATTAAAAACTTACAAAACCATCTGAATAAAGAAAGTTCTGTTCCAAGTGCAGAACACGTGAAGTTCAACACACTGTAAACGTAAAACAAATTACTTGTTAAATATGTTTGCAGAAAAGATGCATGAAATATTAAGGCAAATATTGTACAAACTTGTCTCAAACATATCCTATATGTTCATAAATAATATAAATACCATTTGTGACCCTGGGCCACAAAACCAGTCATAAGGGACAATATTTGGTTGAGATACAACTATTTTAAAATCTGGAATCTGAGGCTGCAAAAAAAATCTAAATATTGAGAAAATCATCTTTAAAGTTGTCCAAATTAAGTTCTTAGCAATGCATATTACTAATCAAAAATAAAGTTTTGATATATTTATGGTAGGAAATTTACAAAATATCTTCATGGAACATGATCTTTACTTAATATCCTAATG